ACGGGGATTCGAACCTGCGACCCTCAGATTGCGAGTCGAGTGCCCTAACCACCTGGCCATGCCGGGCCGACAGTAGAAAAGACACAAATAGTACAACTGACATTTCGTAGATAAGTTCATCTTTATGGTCAAACAATATTTACCCTAAAGGTGTGGGGGACTACTTTTAGATTGTTACTTTGATTGAACGCAAGGCTACATAACGGGATGTCAAACCTCGAATTTTAACGTAAACTTACCGCTTACCCCCTCGCCCGGGTAGACAATTTTAAATGTGTAAAATAATAAAAATATATAGCCCTGTAAAATTTACTGGCCCACATTGCCCTTGCATTTCGACCCCTGGTGGGACAGTGTTTAAGTAATCGGATTTACAATGCTAAAATCAGGGGTTCGATTCCCTTCGGTGGACACAGCAGATAGCCCGAAGTGGCTTTGCTATATCCGTGGTTGGCAGAGCATAGATAGCCCATTGTGCAGCTTCGTGCTTAATTACAAATAAACATACAAGCTTTACTATGAGAAAACACACACACCTTGTATTTCACTCAATTGACTGTAGTGTTTTCCCTTTAGATGGTGTTAATCTTCTTTTACCCTCAGTGACAAACTTGAGGGCTTAGAATTAAAACTCTGGGGTCGATCCCTGTGGTTAGCTCAGCGTTGATAAATTTGTATTCCTTTGATGTTGGAATCGAAAAATAAATATTTTTTCAGCCCAAACAATATTCCTAAATGCCGACATTCCAAAAACCTATTGAAATGTTATCGATAAATGATATGGTGTAAAAAGTAACCCATGATATGATGTAAAAAATAACCCATGATATGATGTAAAAAATAACCCATGATATGGTGTAAAAAGTAACCCATGATATGGTGTAAAAAATAAATTAATTGGTATATTTATTTGGTTTTGTGGTATATTACAATTTGGATTGGAAATTGTTTTGTTGTAATTTTGTTTAAAAATGTAATTGACATACAAATTAGTTACTAAATCATGCTCTTCATACATATTGAAGAACGGGGCCCATTTGACTTTCTTATTTCTTCTCTGAATTCCAAATGTCAAAATTATAAAAATGAAATAAAGATATTAAATAGATCTGTACATACGCTGATAACTGGGTTATCTTGTTCTTGTACTAGTTACACAGCGGCGAGAATAATTTCCCCTTTGGACTTTCCTTGAACTGTTTCTTATAGTTCACTGTGGACATCAGAGGTCAAGTGGGAAAATGGGGTTACTTTTTACACCATATCATGGGTTCTGGTAAATTTCGAAAACTAGTAAGATTAGTAAATTAAAAACCTGATATTGTTTTTCCTTATATTATGTTAATGTTAGAAGTTAGGGGGTTTTTTAGTCCGTCTTGGGTACTTAGAAAGAAGGGGTTTGAATCTTTAGTTTTTAAACAGTACTGGTTTGGCATGTTTTAGTCGGGACTATGTTACTATGATTTGGATATTTAGTACGGTTTTGATGCAATTTTGTTTTAAAGTGCAATGGACAAGGGGGGATGGGGGGGATTTGTCGTTTCTAATCTTGTTCTAAATTTTAGACATATATGTACAGTACCTGGGGTTCAAAATTTCCCAATTTTATTCTTTTTCACTGTTCTAAACTAAAAAGAAAAAACACTGGATACGCCAGATATATTCATTATTGGTCAAATTATTAATGTTTTATCTAAAATTTACAATAAAAAGTTAATACATAACTAACCACTGCTAGTAAATCTGTTGTTTAATAAAATCCAAAAATAATTTAAAAAGTACACTATTTATTAGGAAGTTGGATATATAGACAAGAACAAAATAAAATAATGCACAATAGTATTTCAACCATACTATGACGTCGTATCCGTTGCGGGAGGCCCGTTGCGCTCAATATAGAGCTCACAGCTAGTCAGGGCAATCTTAGGGTCGCGGGTTCGAATCCCCGTCACACCAAACATGCTCGCCCTTTCAGCCGTGGGGGCGTTATTATGTGATGGTCAATTCGTTGGTAAAAGAGTAGCCCAAGAGTTGGCGGTGGGTGGTGATGACTAGCTGCCTTCCCTCTAGTCTTACACTGCTAAATTAGGGACAGCTAGCGCAGATAGCCCTCGTGTAGCTTTGCGGGAAATTCAAAAACAAACAAACTAACTGGTTATTTATTTATTTATGAATTTCTTTTTCTCGCCAAAACGCGAATTTTCAGTGAAGAAAAGATGGCGTAGAGGCCTCATCTACACGTCGAAACCACGTTTTGGCGAGGAAAATAAATTCATAATGAATAAATAACCAGTTAGTGAGCTGAATGATTAATTATGACTGTATGTCACATTTTTATCAAAACACTTGAGATCACAGATTAGTATTAGTAAGTAAAGGACTTTATATTAAAACCAAACAAACGGAACACTGCAACAACTATAATTAATTATCATCATGCTTCGCCAATTTAGAAAAAAAAACCTTCACACCATAGCAATATTTTATATTAATTCAAAAATACACTAATCACAACTTTTATAGTAGCCTGTTATTATAGTTGAATTAATTATTTAGTTCAGTAGAACCGTCAATAAACATTAATATTTTATATTGTTTGTTAAAGATGCCGTAAATTAACACAGGTCTCAAAAAATTGTTTATTCCCCTAGCTACATAAAACCGTTTTGCACGATCTTTATTCCAATATATATTTTTTCGTATTAAATTAATAGCTTGCGACTGTGATTGGTTGAAAGGTACATGTTTGCTTGGTCTGTTCACGTCGTGGTTCTGGTTTTCTAATGATGCAATATACCAACAAAATATCACGTGAGATCACGTATAGCTATATAGATGAGCTGTGCAATTCTGAAATCAAATAACGAAGCGAAGGAGAACGTGTATCCGACTGCAAGAAGGCAAGTTAGTATTTTTAAAAGTTAGATGTGTGTAATAGTGATATATATAGTCACTCTAATAAGGTATTATTCTTGTAATGGTAGTATAACTACCACTATACCAGTGCTGTTGGTATTAGTAATACTCGCTTTCTTCAAAATTCTTGTTTTGTAATGTTAAGCCTAAAGAAGGGTTGTTTGAAAAGTCGCTTGAAATTAAACCGTTTATATTAAAATTTAAAGACGTAGTCTTTGTTACTCTGATTTTATCTTGTAATTTAAATTAAACACATTTTCTAGACTTAACATTAACATAAACAGCCCTACTAATAGTAGTATAACTTGTAAAAATTAAATAGTGTGATATATCAAGATTTTTGAAATGTTTTGTTTATGGAATTGAAACCTAATTCTAGTAACTACTGCTTTGTTCGAGATGATAATGATACACGTCCATTTTGGTGTTGACAGATCATGATTACTTTGTTAGTCCTAACTATAGATTGCCACATTCCATTGTCATTTATTTTCTCTGCTACAGTTATTACAAGTATTTTATTGAAACATTTTGCATCAAACAAATCAACACATGTATGGTAAAGCACGCTTGTAAAGAACTTAAAAGGATGTTCTGCATGGTGAATGTGCTTTTGGATTAAATAATTTTATTGATTTAAAAATATAAAGATTGTATATAGTAAAAAAAAATAAAGAAAAATGTTTTTGTCAGGTAAGTAATATTGTTCATTGGACGTAGTTACCAACTTTGAAGCTGATAACTACATCTTTCAGTCAATAGTCGGCCAGTCACTTCTTATCCTTGCGTGATGTGATAGGGACAAGATCTAGCATTAACATGTGACCTGTGTCCTTTTCAGAGGACAGAGTCTGTTAACATTTTTAGTGTTTCATGTTTCAAGGCAATTGCAATCTGAAGTATAGGCTATGTTTGAAAAAAAATGTTTATCCCCCTGCATCTCATATTATACACTTTAAATAAATAAATAAATGACAATACGTTGACAACCTGGACTGATAACAGTAATTTAATATATAACTTATTTAGATATGTAACTAAAATTTCATCTCTCCTGCTATCATAGAATATCTGTGTTATTTATGTAAATAAAAGACACTTTGTAAATTTATGCTTAAGAAAAAAATCACTCGCTAAAACAGAATTGTTTATATGTGCATTAAAAAGATTTTTAAATAAGCCTTCTTCAGTGAGTGTTTGTTTTGGAAATATTAATTGTTTGTCTAGTAAGTTAGCTCTATATTAAGACATTTACAACTTGTGTCGAAGTTCATTTTATCACAAACATCATTTATTGTATGCATTGTGATTCAACTGGAATTTCAGTGTTGGGCTAATATTTCATACGAAGAAGGCTTAGAAAAGTATTTTGTTTTACAGATTTACCATGAAGATTTTGCTGTTTAGTTTTCTAGTTATAGCTTTAAGTGAAGCTGTCACCTATAGGGATGTGTTCCAGGAAGAGTGGCAGTTTTTTAAAAGTCAACATGGTAAGTACTCTTCTGGTGAACCTGAATCCTAAGTGTATTTTTAAAAGAAAAACTTATTTTTTTCAGCTGAGGTTTTTTTTTTTTTCTTCATTTGTTTGGATTATGAAACACTAAGATAATTGACAGACGTGTAATTACATATCTTGGAACAATTTTATCTCGGTGCGTTGGCAAAAAAAATCTATACTTCTAAGTAGTGAATTACACTTCGGAAATTCATAGAAAAACAACCATTCAGTTTTCAAGATCTGTGTAGAATCCCCTTAAACCTTGTTTGGGAATTTTAATATGAAATGATTGTTGAAACTTATTTTGAATTAAACCATATCTTAACTGTAAATTGATGCAGCCAGTCGTAAAGACTCTTCTTCCAACCACCACACAAAAAAAAAATTACTCTTTGGTCCCCAATTTTGAAACCCAGTATGTATTTCTTAAAATTTAAGTATAGAAACTTATTTTTATTTTTGCGGGTTCAAACCCTAAATTAGATTATTATTCTGAATGCTCCTGACATATTAGTACCAATTTTTGAGTCAATAAATGCAGTCAAGACCTCAGTCCCCTGAACCTCTTTATAGCGCAGTCAAGCCCAAGACCTCAATCTCCTGAACCTCCTTATTTTTGGAACCCCTTGGGACTTTTCTATTCTGGGGTGGAGGGGCATGACTTCACATGTTATTAAACACCTGAAAGATAAACTTTGTGATCATTGAAGCTTAATATGATAGATATTTACAGGTTAATTGGGTAAAACTCTATATTTTAATAGACTGTTTATTTAAAAAGTATCTTTCCTTGCCAGGTATAAAAAATTTAGTGACCTAATATTAAATGTGAATCATTGTAGTTGTTAGATCCAAGTATACTTCTCACAGCTCAGTATTTACTTTTTTTTAATACATATATAAAGATAAAAGTCAGCTGACAATGAGTACCAAGCAAACAAGCATGTTGTAAGAGTGATATCAGATACACAAAGGCCAAGTTTTACTGCCAGCTTGTGTTTATTTAAGAACTCGTGACTACTGGTGTCGCCTGTACCAGGTTGGGTGGAAGAAATCTGAGCTTGCTGCCAAGTGGGAGTTTCCCAAAGTAAATCCTGTATTAGTGGGGAAGGTTATTATCACTAGAAACCAAAACTTTATTTAGTGTAGTTGCAAACTGAAAGAAAAGCTGCCGAAATAGCCAATAATTACCAGAAGCTTTGGAGAAGTGAAATATATTAAGTTTTGGTCAACAAAATAAAAACTTTTCTGATTTTGATATTTGTGTTCAGATTTGGTGATATTATGAACCTGTTCGTATTTAACTGGGTAATACAACCAAATATTGTGTTGTATAAATATATATAATATTTGTAAATACCAGTTTTTATAGACATGGATGGGGGGGGGGGATATTGCTTATAGTAACAAACTCCAAGTATTAGATTCATACAATTTGTTATATAAAGGTGTGCATCCAGATGAATTAAAATCTTTTAATTGATAAGTGAAAACTGAAACCAAAACTAGTGTAGATCTGGGTATCTATTTCTCTGAATGTTGAGCCTTGAAGAGTAATTTAATAAATATTGTTGGTAGTTCAATAAAGAATAAACAATACCTGAATAAATCCTCTAATGGATATCTGTTTTTACATTTTATTTTTATTTTCTCTTAAAGTGCAATTTGGGTGATAAAAATATTTTCTGAATCTTAGGTAAACAGTACAAGGATATAATGGAGGATCAGTTTCGGGTGATAAAAATATTTACTGAATCTTGGGTAAACAGTACAAGGATATAATGGAAGATCAGTTTCGGGTGATAAAAATATTTACTGAATCTTGGGTAAACAGTACAAGGATATAATGGAAGATCAGTTTCGGGTGATAAAAATATTTTCTGAATCTTAGGTAAACAGTACAAGGATGTAACGGAAGATCAGTTTCGCTTGAAGATTTATTTAGAAAACAGACACAAGATTGCTCGTCACAACCAAAGATTTGAAAAGGGTCTTCACAAGTATCAGCTTAAGATGAACAAGTATGGTGATTTGGTGAGTGAATATGTATTATGAAACTGACACCCCTGGTGGTGATGTACAGATACTATTAATGTTGTGAAAGATTACGTGAATTTATGATAATAAGTTAGCTAGTCACTTGTAATCTCATGGTTTATTAATAACTAAATAAAATTCTTGCCACGAGCTTCGGTGAGTTAGTTCACGAGTTACCGTGAAAGTATTAATGATGGTTATTTCTTCTTCTGTTTATTTTGTGTTTCTTTCCTGATTCCTTTATTTATTGAAATAATTATTAACATTGATATTTATGTTGTATTCTTCATTAACATTAGTAGCAACTTTTGGCCAGGCCAATTGTTTGTAAATTTCATTTTGTGTTTCTGTGGTTGGCCTGAAGCTTACCTGTTACGTTTGTAAACATTGGAGGAATATGATATTAGGATGTAAAGGTGTACGTTATTGTGTACATAATACTTAACTGCTCTTAATTTTATATATATTTTTAATTCTAATTTCATCACATACAAAAGTTTACCCGCTTTTGGTTTGTGGGTCCTACTTCCCAAATAGCGTGCTAACTATCATACATTTCACCTTTCCCAAAATGCAAGTTGTACCCTGGATTTATTAGTCACCCTTTGCTGTCATCATAGTTCTGAAGGTTTTTTCTTTTAAGCACGATCCAGAGTAAAAACATCTGGACGGTATACTATTTCCTACAGATGCTAATTTCGTCACAAGTTTTCTTTGTAAACTGGTGTACAGATATTTTTTGCATGTAATGAATTCTTTGAATGAAAGAGGTTTGGACAGGTTCAAGGTGAGCCATTTTCTCAGAATTATTTTTGCAGTAGCTCACCTGAGTCTTTATTTCTTTACTACAAGTTTTGAACAATAACCAGTTCTTGAAGTAACAAATAAAATCTTTTTCAGAATTTAAAGTTAGATAATTAATCCTGTTTTTATTCTTATTTCACCTGTACTTGTCTTGTGTAACTTTTATAGTGATTAGAAATCTTAAAACCTGTTCTGCTTTAAGAAATAACTTGAAATAATCCATGTTTGAATACTCGCTATGCATGTAAAATGTTCGGTATTGTTTTATATTTCTTTTTACTCGAATGTTTGTTTCTCTTCACAGCTTCACCATGAGTTTGTGAAGATTATGAATGGCTTCAAGCGACACTACCGTAATCTCACTCTGGAGTTAAACAGTGCCACCACCTATCTGAGTCCTGCTAATGTACTGATACCTAAAGAAGTTGACTGGCGAAAGAATGGCTATGTGACCCCCGTCAAGGACCAGGGGCAGTGTGGCTCTTGTTGGTCGTTCAGTGCTGTAAGTTACTGTTAGCTTCTAATAAAATTATCTGCTCTCGTGTAAATATTAGACAATTTTTGCATTGTGTACGTAAGAGTATTTTTTTTTTATTAATAATATTATTATATGTGTTTCTTGTGCTATTTTTTCCTACAAAGACTGGAGCTCTGGAAGGTCAGCATTTCCGGAAGACTAAGAAACTAGTATCCTTGAGTGAACAGAACCTCGTTGACTGCTCTACTAAGTATGGTAACGAGGGCTGCAATGGTGGACTGATGGACCAGGCTTTTCAGTATATTAAAGATAATCGTGGTATTGACACCGAACAGTCTTATCCCTACGAAGCTAAGGTTAGTTTAAAATCGGGTTAGTTTTAAAACTTGTAAAAAGTATTATTTAGCATGAATTTTTTTTTTTTTTTTTTTTTTTTTTTTTTAATGGTAAGTATAAAGTCTTGTTTGTATTG